CTGCTGCAGCAGTGCTGGCTTCCACAGAAGCCATTTTCTATTTTCAGATGCCGTAGCAGTTCCCACTCCCGCAGGAGTTTCCTTTTCAGATGCCGCATTAGCGCCCGTTTCTGCAGAAGCCACTTTCTCTTTTCAGATGCCGTAGCAGTTCCCACTCCCGCAGGAGTTTCCTTTTCAGATGCCGCATTAGCGCCCGTTTCTGCAGAAGCCACTTTCTCTTTTCAGATGCCGTAGCAGTTCCCACTCTCAAAGGTGTTTTCTTTTCAGATGCCGCAGCAGCACCCGCTTCCACAGAAGCCTCTAGTTCTCTCTTCTAAAGCCTCAGCAGTGCCGCTACTACAAGCGACGTCCAGCACCCCACCAATTTTAAGCTTTGCAAATTTTGGGGGGTTATCAACGCTCCTCTCTGGCTGCTGTCCCGTACTAATTGCATCTTTGGGGGAACGCTCTGGGTCCGGGCTAAAAACCGAGCTCTAGAATGAGCTTTAGAATGAGCTTTAAGGCGGAGAGTCTGTCTTTACAGAGAGTCTGTGAGTCAGAACAGAACAGCTGTAGTCTACTCTACCAGGATCAGGAAACAGTCCCCCATAAAATGTGCTGTACACATCTGAATATTTGGGTTGAACTGTTCTGAAACAGTGTTGTAAATTCAACTTAACCACTGATTTCTAGTCATGTCCTCTTTTGGAAGGCCAAATAAAGTAGTTTTGCTTTCACAACGAAACACACGGCGGGCTAGAGTGAGCGGAGGCCGCCGGTCTAGCGTGAGGAATGGCCGGCAGGCTAGAGTCAGCAGCAGCAGGCATGAGTGAGCGGAGGGCGGGTTTGAGAACGGTGTGGCTGGCGGATTCGACGAAGGAGCGGCCGGCGGGCTTGCGGCAACCACATGTGACGACCTCCGGTCTGGATTTCGCTTCGTTCCATGGTGAAAGCCGATCCGGTGCTCCGCAGCGCGAAGTTGAAGTATTTCCTCAGCGACCAGCACGGATCAGCTCTAGGCATGACGAAGTGGATATCGTCCTTTTTTGGAAGGCCAAACAATGTAGTTTCACTTTCACAACGAAACACACAGCGCCTTTACGACATGGCGGCAGCAACAATACTACAGCGAGAATAAAAGTTACGACTTGTTTCTTTGCGTGAACATTTGGGCGGCATTATGCAAATCTTCCCACATCGTGACATAGACATGTGGGGGCATGTTAGAACGAACCGTTTTAGGTAGGTGTGGTTGACTTTTAACTTTTATAAAGAATATCTCTTTGGAGTTGAGACTTTAGTCTTTGCAACTTTACAGATCTTCTTTATGCACCAAGAGCTTGTAACACTTCAAAGAGAAAGGAAAAATTGAAATCGCATCATATGACCCCTTTAAAAACCAATAATAAAATCTTAAAATCAATCCTATACTTGACTGGTAGCCAGTGGAGAGACGATAGCACCGGAGTGATGTGTTCCCTTTTTTTTTTTGCCAGTCAAGCCTAGCTGCGGCATTCTTCACGAGCTGTAATCGAGATTGCTGTTGACAGATCCCTACATAATAAGGTCATATAGATCATAACACAGTCTCGAAGGTAAGAAGTGAATTATTCTTCACCTGAAATGTTTGTCTTTTCATCCTGAAATGCGGCAAATGTTGGATCACTATAATTAGGAACCACAGTTTCCTTCACTTGATTGGGATGTTCTCTTTTATTGTGGACGGCAAGGGTAGTGACTGTAACATCGAGCATATTTTGCAGTATTAAACACGATTTCATCAGGCTACAAAAATTCAAAAAAGAACACAAAGAATGGCCTTCTCAGCTGCTATAGTTGCAACTCTTGCTCATCAGAACAGGGTGTTCAACGCACCACCATTTCCATTTAAAAAACGTTTTGCACCGTTTTGTCGTGGCTGAACGCAGCTCTGTTCTTCAAAAAGTTCCGCGAGGCAGAATAATAGTCCACTGCTGCAGGTGTATGGATTCTTGATGTGTTTATTGCAACTACATTTCATCTTTTTCTCATCAAATAACCAGACAAATGAATAGCTCGATACAATCCGTTCCGAGGCAGAGTGTAGACAGTGCTTTCTTCTGTGTAGATATCAATTCTATGATTTGCATCAGCTGGCTGCATGTAGGCTATGATATGGCGGCTGTCATAGCCTACCCTGGTCGCCCAGTAAGTTTGTTTGTTTAAATAATGAATTACTTTTAATAAAATATTTTAAACACTAATACAAAAAGGAAAGAATAATGCACTGACTTATAACAGGCCTATTATAACGTTCAAGAACTATGTCATTCCGACTATCTTACAATCGAAGAACAACAGAGATAAAATACATACTCTTGAGTTTTATAATGTAGTCTTTTTTTATTTTTAAACTGATTATAGTTGAGACCTCAAAAGGATATGCGCTTGTGCTGGCCGTGAGCTGCATGCGCACTCACACACAGGACTGTAATGCAAGATTTTCATAAATGTAACTTGCCATTTCGAGTTGATTCTCACCAAACCCCACAGAACACTTGGAATATGCGCCACGAGATTAATAGGATTATTTAAAAAAAGATTTGCATCTGCTTAAAAAAAGTGAAAGTCACCATCTCTGCAGGCCCGGTTCTTAAGCGCTATAGAAGGGTGGGATGGCAGATATCCTTGGTGGGCTTTTTTTTTTGTGGAGGGTGGGGAGGGGGTGGGATTCAGTCTAGAAATTTAGACTGTAGATATTGCTATTTTAACTATACAACTTATTGCAATGTTGTTGATATATGTACACTGAAAAAAGAGCAATATCATCCTTCATGGGCAGCCTGATAGCGAACCATAGAATATCATTAACTTTCGCAACAAAATAAACTTTTTTTCTTTACTGAATAGTAAAAAACAGCCCTCTTTGTTCTTTCTCTTGATCATTGTTTCTACACTGGTGATTCTTTTAACCAAGTTTTTTTTAATTTATTCCAAACAAGGCCGCAATAATGTCTACTAACATTGGGAGAACCAATTGTTTTGAGGAAAATAAAGACCAGACATCTATGGTACTGGTATTTATTTAAAGGAACTAAATAAATATAGGATTTCAATTGATTTAGGGGAATAAATTAAAAGAAGAAAAAAGAACAAGAATAAGATATTTTGCAAAGTAATCAATCTGAACTGCAAATAATATTTTTATTTTAAAATATGCACCATTCAATTTTATTTGTAGCCTATTCCTAATATGTTGAAAACGCAAAACAGAAAAATGCTATTGTCGTCACATTCAATTAACTTAAAACTTGAATTACAAGAATCACAAATGACAGGCCTACATTCAATTCAATTCACTGGATATAACAATTTTAGTTTCTGCAGACCTACTAAACAAACACGCCCTCAACTGGACTAGCGGGGCTGGCTGGCAAGCATGTACTGTAGTTCAATCTGTTCGTCATGTGAGTCAGTCTGTTACACAAGGAGAGAAAGCAGTTATGAATGTGTAAAAATAACTTTTGATCATCACAAACAATATGACGTAAGGATGCTAATATAAAGCTTTTGTAGCTTGATAAAATTCATGCCTAGCTAACAAAATAGAAGAAAAAATGTATCTGTTCTTATTTGTGGGGAAATGCTTATGATGCTTGACACCAATTCTCAAGTCTCTTTAAAAGGCCATTTTAATAAATAGATAAAGAATTGTTTCGGTAATGAACAAATTGATGTTTTAGCGAACCGTTTGAATAATTGATTCAGTGATTCAACTTAAGTCCATCAACTGTCCATTTACAGTCTACAACTGTCTAACCTGTCTTACTGAACAAATCTGAATTTATCTTTTTGATGAACAATTCATATATATGGGCCATTCTACAGAATTGGTGCAAACTGCTGTCCCACAACCAAAAAAACCCCCCACATTTAAAAAGGATTTATGTATACAAATCTTAGATGTTTATTAAGATCCTTTTATTATCTATTGAAACAATAATGATTTAAAATATTAGTAAGCTTAATATATATATATATATATATATAATATTCATTTATTGGGTACTCTCAATTGGGAGGTGGCTGTCCCGAACCCTAACTCTAAATTTCAACTTATGAAAAGTATATTTAAATAATTTTTATTATTTAGTGTTTTTTCCATTGTTGTTTTTAAAAGTATCTTTTTGATTCTTTTAAAAAGTGAAGTTCAAAAAAATATATTTATTTTATATTTTCTTTGTAAATTATGAAACTTTGTGCAAAAACGTGTCCCACATCCCAGCAAACAGGGGATGTCGACGTCAAGGGGACCCTACACGCTGACGTCCGGGGGACGTTCGCAGAGGCCATTTAGGGGACGTCCTGGGGACCTCTTTTTGTTACCTGGGATGTCCCCCCTTCACCGTGTATGTTTTAGTCTATTGGGCTAGACTGAGTTTAACTAAACTCATAAATTTATGATCAGGAAATATTCCTGTGTCCCCCTCTCTCATAGCTACAAAGTGTGAGTAGATAGGTCTCATCATTTTGAGGTAAATGTGTTAAAAAGTCTGAAAACCCTGTGTGTAACTTTAGGGAACGTCTCTACCAAACACATTTTTTCCTGCAAGTAAGCACTCTTTTTTGCGTTATTCCATAACATGTATTTTAAATGTTTACCACCGTTCAGAACTGTGCTAGCTAACCATGTGCTGATGCATCTATGAGCTAGGTTCAAAATGATCTAAAATGGTCACTACCACAACAACTTGCCTTTTGAGTATTTGTACAAAGGAATAGATAAATAAAGCAAATATAGGCTACAATAATATCCTGACAGTAGAAATATATGTAAATATTAATATCTGCATTATAACATACACGACTTTGTGGTTTAAAATGTTTGTTTTCCTGATGCATATGGACTTTCAAAAAACAATAAATAATAAAAAAGATTTATTATTGTTCTACATGTAGAGATTCATTCAACTTTGTGGATAATACCTATGGAAACTGGGGGGAATTCTCTCTTTTAACGGCCGACGAACGTGCTCGAGGAGTTTCAGTCGTCGGCGTCACTTCCGGTCCGTCTCACGTGAATGGAGAAGCAAAAACTTGCGGCTGGAAGTTTAGAAAGTTCCCGAAGCAGAAGTGTGTTTCATATTCATGCAAACCGTACACGTCCACTGTATCTCGGACCCTAAATAACGATACATTGATGTCAAACCATTATGTCCTAAAGCACCTATTACAGATTGTGTTCCGTAACAAATGGAGCATTTCCACCTCAGATTGTGAAAGCTGATCCGAGATCAGCATCTGAAAGGCTGAATGGAAACACATGACAACTAGGAAACTGACGCCGCAGACTCGGTTCTTACAACATAAACCTCAACACGACCGTCCACAATGTTTTATGCCCGTAGTGTTGTATTATACGCCTTACTAAGTATTTGTTCCTCAAATGAGAGTAAAATAAAAAACGCACAGAAACCGGTGCGTCTAGTGTTCACCGAGGAGGAGTTGCAAAGATACGATGGGAGCGAGGTAGGCTATGTGCTGTGTCACAAAAACAAGTTTTATATGATATTTCTAACGACGTTTTCAAGATTAAATGCAAAATGCATTTACTAAAGACCTTTAAACGCCCCCCTCCCACTTTACAGGACGGACAACCAATTTACATGGCCATTAAAGGTGTAGTTTTTGACGTTACAACTGGAAAAGGTTAGATATTTTATGCAACATAACGTTCTCCAGTCTTTTGTGTGCTGGTGGAAGCTATTACCTTGTTTGAGGAACTCCATCTGTCAGTTGGAGAGATCAGTGTTGAATAGATATGCTTTGTTCCCTATTTTGCTCCTATATAGCCTATAAGCACTAAGCAGTGTATTGGAAACCACATGCCTATTTGCATTTAATGGATGAACTTTCCAGCTGTGGGAAAAAAAAGGGATTTCCAGGGCTATTTAGTATAGTTCCAAGAGTTACGGGAATTTCTATAGTGCGGCTATGTTGAGTTCGAATCTATTTCGTTGGCTAGAAATTGTAATTTGTGATGACAGTCTATATAGATTTATGCAATCAAGAATGGCATGGGAGTTCCTTGTTCAAAGTATGTGGAAATCCTGTTGTGTTTCTTTTATTTCCAGAGTTTTACGGAAAGGGGGCGCCTTATAATGCACTTGTGGGCAAAGACTCAACCACCGGGGCTAGTTCTCACAAAGGCTATAACTCAGTAACTATAAAGACCTTAGATAAATTCCAAATGCACATTGTTTGAACTATCTATACAACTGTTTAAACGTGTTTTTTTTTTGCATTTATTTGATCAAAAATACAGTAAAACATCAATATTACTACAATTTTAAATATCAGTTTTTTTATTCTAATATATTTTGAAATGTAATTTATTCCTGTGATGGCAATGCTGAATTTTCAGCTTTCATTATTCCAGTCTTCAGTGTCACATGATCCTTCAGAAATCATTCTAGTATGCTGATTTAGTGCTCATTTCTTATTATTATTAATGTTAAGAACAATCGTGGTTTATATTATAGTTTTGTGTTATTGCTTGTTTTTTCTATGTTTTAAAGCTGTTAGCTAATTAAGTTATATAATGCCTACATAGTTTTTTTTACTGTAATTATTATTACAACTTAATATTTTGCTAAAAAATGTCATATGTATCAAATATATAAAATTTCATTACATTTTTATAATTCATTATTTGTGCCATGAACTCCAGGTGTTGATTTGCAAAGTTTGATTCTATGATACATTCTGTATTAAGTTGCTATAGTTCTATAATAACAACTCAAACCATTTTTTAGGTAATCTTACCTAGAGGACTGCATCTATTGGTCCTCGCATCACAGCAAACCTATGAAGGTGCTGAGTGCTCACGGCGTGGTAAGTTATCACATTCACCCATCAGTTTCACACATCTATTGTCACTTAATGTCATCATGGAAACTGATTAGTGCGTATTTGAATTGACTTACTTCCCAAGATCTCATTGACAGGATAAACACATCTTTTGTTCTTTCCGTTTCAGTCTAAATCGTTGACCCAAAGCAGCATGGACTTAATCAGCATGCCAGCCACAGCTGTAAGTATATTGATCCCAAGATCTTACGCATACAGCGCTCCTCATCACCTTCTGATTGATAGATTAGTGCAATTATGGATTCTTTTAAGTCTGAGTGTTGAGAACAAAGCCTACAATGGGATGCTACAAAGTCCTGACCTGTTAAATGTCAATAAATCTCACCTACGCATGGTTTAGTCATGATGTTTACAAAGCTTGCTCTGTTAAGCTCTTGTTGCACCAACCCAGAATCCCCCAGTTACTATGTTTAGTTCTGTTTTTTAATAGATATACCAGTGTAGTCTATTGCTTCATCTCATTAATTGCTTTCATTTTTATTAGGTTCAAGTGAATACGGGAATTTCCCTTAGTCAGCAGACTAAAGCCAATCTGACCTGCATCTCCCACACTGGTAAGCTAAAAGTCTCACTTCTCTTCTTTTAAATGTCATTGCTCTTTAATATGTTGTTTTGGACCAAGAGTAAATGCAGTTTACTGTAAATTAGAACAGCAGACTAGTTCTTTTAAAAGAATATAGTGATTTTTATTTTTTCTTTATTGATATTTAACAGGAAACATCAGTCAAAGGCGCTGGAAGAGCATCTTGCGACGTGTACAGAAAAAGAACATGGAACATCCCAAAAACACACTGTTTGGGCGACCCTTGTCTGATATCTGTCAAAAAGATGGGTGTCCTCCCAAAGCAATTATGGTAAGGATTGTCATTTTGTTATACAATAGAACTTCAACGCAAAATCCTAAACAAATTTGGTATTAAATGTATGTGGTTTTAGTAATTGAAATGTCTTCATTTCGTTTGCAGGATATCCTTACCTTGCTGCTGAGAAAGGGTCTGGACACTGAAGGGGTGTTCAGGAAGGCCGGGAACGTCAGGGCTCTCAGAGAGATCAAGGCACAGCTCAACGATGGGATAGAAGTGGATCTGAAAGAGCAGTCGGTCATTTTGCTTGCTGCTCTTGTCAAGGTAAGGAACAAGCTTGTGCAATTTGATTTGGTTTGACTCATTAACAATTATTAGGTCTAAAATATGCATATTTGATCACTAATGTCTATCTTTTGTATTTCGATTTGCAGGATTTTCTTAGACATCTGCCTGGCGGTTTGCTAATGGAGGAGAAGTGCAAATCCTGGATGACTGCAATGGAAAAGGAAGATGAAGATCAGAAGCTTGCTGAAATTAAAATGTAAGTTATCTAATGATGCAGTTGGGTTGAATAGAAAGTGTTTAGTGTAAATGAACTGTAATTGTGACCAAGTGTCCTTTGTTTTTCTTTAGGGTGATCAACACGCTTCCTGAGCCAAATATTCAGCTCTTGAAGCACTTGATGGTTCTGCTCTACCACATAAGTGAGAATGCAGATACAAACAAGATGGTTTCCATCAATCTGGCTAAATGTGTTTCCCCCAACTTGCTCCAAACAGACAACTTGGAAAAAATAGAAGAGGTGAGTGTAAAGTGACTTCTGAAAGTCTTGAGCTTAAAAACTCCTCACATGATGTGGCCAAGAGCCAGAAAACAGCCGACTGAGTAAAACTGAAACTCAACAGAGGAAGAAAAGATCAAACTAGTTTCATATGCAGACTTATTTTGACCTAATCCATGTGATCTTTCTTGTTGTTGAAGTGCCCTTTGTTTAATTCTCGTGTCTCTCTGGCAATGTATTTGCAGGTGACAAAACTGACTGACTTTCTCATTGGCAACTGCCCTCAAATATTCGGTGAGGATGCGCTGGCGCTGTTTGGAGACTCTGATGAAGATGAACTCAGTGATAATCAAGGTACATTTTTAAATATTTAGTCTTTTAGGATGCCTATGCACTGGAGTTAATGTATCAACTTAGAAGAAAGAAAACACACAAATGAGATAATTATTGTTGACATAGAGTAAAAGTATAGAGCAGGGTTCCTCAAATCTTGCCCTGGAGGGCCAATGCGCTGCAGAGTTTAGCTCCAACCCTGATCAAACTCACCTACCTGGGATTTTCTAATGATCCTGAAGACATTGATTAGCATGCTCAGGTGTGCTTGATTAGGGTTAGAGCTAAACTCAGCAGGAAAGTGGATCTCGTGGGCCAGATTTGAGGATCCCTGGTATAGAGTATAGAACTCTGATGTAGAAATCCATTGACCAATGAGTATTTGAGAGAGGCGGGTCCAGTTGTACCTTCAGAAATCCAATTGGCTGTCAAATTCCCACTGAGCATCTGTCCAGGTTTCTCCAATGCATAGGCACTCTTTACATACGACAGCACAGATTTAGCAAAGCAAATGTAAGCAATGATTTGATAACGATTTGATAATTAATGAGTATCTGTCCTTGATTTCTCCTTCAGACTCTTTTTCTTCGCATCATCTTGACTCTGCGTACGACAGTAATGACCCTGATGCAGACGGCTACAAGGGAAGTAGTTCTGACATGGACTCTATCAAATCCGGCGCTGAAGAGAAATCCCAGGAACATTCCAGCAATGAGGAACTTTGGACAAAAAAACTGACTCGCAGATGTTCAGAACCAGTAATCAACTTAAGACAGGGAGTTGAGCAGCACCTTTCCCTCTCCAGGAGCCAGACAGAAATGGACTTTTATGACAAACTCTTAACAAAGCAGATCTCTGATGACTGTATTGTGGTTAGAGCAGGCCACAGCTTGGGGAAGAGCTACGGGGCCAGGACAACCTCTAAAGACTGCTCGTTTTGTTCTTCAAGTTCACTTGAGAGTTGTTTCTCCAGCGCTTCTGAGAGCTCAATCCACAACAGTCCTCTTGTTGTGCCTTTATGCAATCAGAAAAAAGCCCTTCAACGCAAACATTCCTTCCCCACCCGCCAATCGGCACCTGCACCGAATCGCTTGGAGACCCCCAAAAGACGCACGCAATCCATGAAGAGCGCACACATCAGAAGCAGAACTGTCTTTGGGCGAAGCGGCTCCACCAAACGGGCCATCGAGAGAGCCCTACACCACAGCCAGACCCTTCCTGAGGTACTGAATCCTCCTCTGGAGCCGAGGCGCTTGTCTAGCGAGGAGGTTTTCCAGCAGGTGGACAGCAGGATACCAAGCAATCCTCCATGTTATCAGCAAGCTGTTCAGGACAGTTCCCATGTTGCTCTCTCGAGCTGTAAATCGTTGACTGTTCAGGATGCTAGATGTCTGTCAAAGCAATCTTGTAGCCACTCGAGATCTTCAAGTGAAGAGACATTGGATTTGTCTTCTGGGAATGAACATTTTGATATCCACAACACAGACAGTTCAGAGACATGTTGTGATAGTATGAGCGGATCCTCCTCAGAGTTGAGACAGAGGACCACATCTGAAACTGGGTATGAAGCATCAATGCCAGTTTGGTGCAATCAAGAAAACGTCAGAGAGACATATGTCTGATTTACTGTACATTTGTATTATTGTTGCTACTTTTTGGTGGAGGCAAAATGTCTTTGCACATGACCTCATAATGAGGCGTTAACATTTCAGGGCTTCAAGTACAATTCTGACATAGAGTTGTGCTGAATATGTTGAATTTTATGTATGTATGTAACTGAAAGGCACTTTGAGGAAAATTCACTACACAGATTTAAAGTTTTTGTGCAATGTTTACAGAACTGATGTACATGCTTAAAAACAATGTAAATCATATGTATGTATGTCTTTTGAAATAAAGACATGAAATACACCTTATACATTCTGAGTCACTAAGAAAAATTATTTAACCATCATTTTATTATTATTATTTAAGAACATGCAACTTAAAATCATAATTATATATATATACACACAGTGACCCCAAAAAGTATTTAAAAAAATGTATGAATGTCATAGCATTAGATCAGGGGTTTGCAATGTTTTCATGTTAGAACCAACCTTGAGAGCCACCAAAAACTATTTTAAGAAATATGAGGAGAAACAATATTTTAGGTAACGGTTTTTAGAATTTCCTTATATTGGATTTATGTTTCAATTGTATTGCCACAAGGCTTATACAAATACTATAAAAATAGGAATAAACATATAAAGACATGACTGTATGGAATACAGATAACCCATAGGATAAATAGTTTTGCGTTCTTAGTGGCTTAGTCAAGTAATCTTTATTTTTCAATATTGTAAAAAATTAAATAAAATATAATGTTGATAGAAATTTGATGCAAATACAGGAATTTTTGTTTACACCATTGCAATTACTTTTAACAATCTAGTGTTGCCTAATTTCTATTCTAGGCTAATTTTTAGTAGACGTATTAATCTTTTTTTGAAGAGCCTATTACTTTAGCATTTAAATCCATAAAAAAAATTTAAAAAATAAAGGTTTGCTTGAAAGGTGTTCTTATGCTATATTTATTTAAAATAAATGCTTTGAAATAATTGCACGTTTTAAATAAATGCCTTTCTCGTGAACATTTTCTATATTTTTTTGACATTTAAACAATTGTAATCCTGTGTTCAAATACTTTCTGGGGATGAATGTTTGTTTATTAGCCTACCTGTAGCCTACCAAAGTACAGAAAATGCCCAGAACTGCCCAGATATCCACCTTGCAGTAGATTATCAAGCTCAACCGCGCCCATGTTTTCTCCGCGCTGTGTATGTATATGGAATGTAATGTTATAGTGTGACAGTGAGCTGTTAAAGAGCTTCTATCATTGTTAACGACGCGACAAGAATCCTCTTCGCGCTGTAGTTCTGGACGCGAGCCCGATCAAAGGTCGATGTTACAGCGCAGGTACACTGTGAGCAGAGCTGCTGGCACTCTTTAACTCCAGTGGTCCAACTAACTTACCGTGCTAGGTATCGCTGGGGCGAGGCTTTGACACCATCTCTCGAAAATGAGTCAGAAATGAGTCTCTAGCGTTCACTGGTCAGATCGGTCGCGAGCTCTTCTTCTGCTGGCCCAAACACAAGACTGACAATGCCTAAGCCTGTAAGTAGTTCTTTTCTTTTTATATTAAACATACAGATTTATTACATAAAGAATAAAACTGGATAACCGTGTCATAAATGGGAACAAATATGTAAATGACCAGTGTTACACAAGTGATCTTTCTTGTGTACAACATCGCATATTAATCCATTTACTTATATCTAGAATAATGTATGTTTATTGTTGATAAATTTGAATAATTCTGTCTTGTTCAGTGGTTTTGTATGTGACTTGACACAGCAGGCCTCTGTCATAAAGACTCACATTACAAAAGACGTTTCATAGCTTCACATTAGTTTTTCATATTTAATTCAATATTTTTGTAATGTGTTCCGACTGACCTTAAAAATCCACAGTGTTTAAAGAAAGGATAACCTTTAGCGCTTAAATCAAGATAAAGCAGCAATTTATTGCCTCGTTTGTATTTATTTTATTTTACAATGTTGAGGAGTAATATTGTGTAGCCTTATGAATGGTTATGATTAGTGGTTATACTTGGAATTTATATAATTTTGTATATTTCAAGGTGTTGTGATTACCTCTAATTTTAGCCGGATACTAACTATTAATTTGATGGTTAACATACTTGAGTATGTGTCTTTACACATTAACTAGACTTAGACAATGAGGATGAATTCATGCTGTGCTCATGTGCGCAGAATGCCACAAAAGTAAAATATTAGCTAGATGCAGATTGTTCAGCTGTGAACATACTTTTGACTTTAGTAATTGAGTACCAGGATGTGATGTCACTCTCATGATTGCCCTTAACATTCAAGAGAGGTACAGCTTATTCAAAAAGGTTTTTTATTTCCTTATTCGTAAATAGTTTCGATATTTTATCGGTAAGAGTGGAATGTTGAAATGTATATTTTCTTTTTGAATCTATTCTAATATATAAACTATTAAAATATATAATAATACACTGTAAAAAAAAAGGAAAATGTGATTTTAGTAATATTCTGCCAAGATATTATCCAGTTATTTTACAGAAATAGATGCAATAAAGTTCAAAAATTAAAATACAGGTAAAACGATTAATACATACAGACGATTCCTTTATATTAATACAGTATATTGTGCCCTATTTTCTACAGATTTTAATACAAATATTTTATAATATTGCAACAATTGTTGTATTTTATTATAAATTAGCGCCCTTATCAATAAGTGTCCGAGAGAAATATGGAAATATAGCATTCCTGAGGTAGTCCCCATGGTTGAATAGCACATTATAATTGAATGAAATTATGAATTATTTTGTTAAAATCAAATACAAAAAATCTCCCATTATGTCATACATTGTCAGTTATCACACATTGCCATTGTTATAGTTCATTTAAAGTTGTCCTCCAAAATGTATTTTTCAAAATCTGTAAAAAGAAAAAAAGAAGAAGAGAGAGATCAGTTCTGATCACACACATACTTTAAACCCCAGTTTTATTGTAATTATTGTACGGTAAATGCAGCTTTCATGAACTATAAATTGGGGTATGGGATATTTGTACTTGCACTTTTCGAAATGAATGTGACACTGCAAAATCATGCAATGAAATGTGATTTAAAGTGGCTAAAATCTTAAAATAAATTGTGACCATAACATTTTTTTCTATTATAGAAACATATGGATTTTAACCAGAAAGGTCATGTCCATTTCCATTTGTGAATTACATGTGTTAAATCTGATATGGACCTAACGCTTCTTTAAGCCTGTGAAGAAGTGCTTGAGCACAAACACTTATCTGTGATTTGAGGAGAGTGGGTTAGCACCGGCTTGTGAGCCTGTAGCCATCAGGCAAATGAGACATGCAGGTTTAGCCGTCACGCTGTGTTAGGACGTATCGGGTCTTTCTTCCTGTTAGATAAATTTGCAGCTCTGATGGTTGCTCATGGAGATGGTGACTGCTAGATTAAACAGTAGCACTCACGCAGTCAGTTCCATTGTTAGGACAAATCCAACCGAGAGGACAAGCTTTGAAGATTATAGATTAAATCTGCCATGCTGGCATTGGGATTAATGTTTATATTCTCTGGATAAGGACAAGCTGAAAAGAGGCAGCTTGTTTGCCTCTTACTGACAAGACCCAAAAGATTTTTGAAAGTATGTGTTTATCAATGTATAGTATTAATTATGCACGTAGTATAGTTATCATATATAGAGATCCCAGCAGTGATTTAAACTCTTTTGACAGAGTTGCAAGCCTAGTGTGCCTTATCTAAGGGCTCGCTGATAAAGGTTCATTTACATTATGTTACACTGATAGTCTTAGTCAGGATACTCAGAAGATTGGAGACCTTGTACTTTCTGTTTTATTGTAATTTGCATTAACATCTTTATACTTGATTACTAACTAAATATGAGGTTGAGAATCTAAGTGGACAAATTCACCAGTTTAAATTACAGGTTGAATCGTATTACTTAATAAAAACATATCTAGATTTTGCAGTGAAAGTACATGTATTGTCTTTTAAATGTAATAGATTTTTTTGCAGTGGTAATTCAGAATTAAATTAAATTGTAGCTGTAAAATGTAATGTATTGTTATTATAAATTAGATAAAATAAAATATAAAAAGTCATCAAATCATAAAAAAATCAATAAATAATAAAAAAAAATTGGGGTAAGATTTGTTTTTTTGAAAGAATGAATAGGTTACTTTTATTCATCAAGAATGCATTAAATCGATCAACTGTAATAGTAAAGACATTTATAATGTCACAAAAGTTTTTTTATTTCAAATAAATGCTGGTATCGATTTTTTTGCCATAATTGCAGTGGTAATTCAGAATTAAATTAAATTGTAGCTGTAAAATGTAATGTATTGTTATTATAAATTAGATAAAATAAAATATAAAAAGTCATCAAATCATAAAAAAATCAATAAATAATAAAAAAAAAATTGGGGTAAGATTAGTTTTTTTGAAAGAATGAATAGGTTACTTTTATTCATCAAGAATGCATTAAATCGATCAACTGTAATAGTAAAGACATTTATAATGTCACAAAAGTTTTTTTATTTCAAATAAATGCTGGTATTTTGAAAATGTATCACGGTTTTCACAAAAATATTCAGAAGCGTAACTGCTTTGACAATAATAATAAATCTTGAGTATCAAATCAGCATATTTTAATTTCTGAAGAATCATCTGAAGGCTGAAGTAATGGCTGCTGAAAATTAACCTTTGCCATCACAGGAATACATTGCATTTTAAAATATTCTATAAAAGAAATCAGTTATTTTAAATAACTGTAAAATATTTCACAATACTTTTTACTGTTTATTTATTTTTAAATAAATGCAGCCTTGGTGAGCATAATAGACTTTCAAAAAAATCAATCAATCAATCAAATAAAAATTACAGACCCCAAACTTTTAACCAGTAGTGTATAATAAACTAAGCCCTAAGCCTTTTATCTGTATTTAATCACACAATTAGTTATATTTTATTACAATTAGTAATATTTTCTACAGTGTAACATTAATGGTTGCTCGCAGATATTTATAGAATTTTAAAGGGGTCATGTGACGTTGCTAAAAAAGAACATTATTTTGTGTATTTGGTGTAATGAAATGTGTTTATGCGGTTTAAGGTTAAAAAACACATTATTTTCCACATACTGTACATTATTGTTTCTCCTCTATGCCCTGCCTTTCTGAAACGAGTCGATTTTTACAAAGCTCATCGGTCTAAAAAGCGAGGTGTGCTCTGATTGGCCAGCTATCTAGTGCGTTGTGATTGGCCGAATACCTCAAGTGTGTGACGGAAATGTTACCTCCCTTACCATACTGTGATGCTGTGTCCCGGCGCGATGAGACAAAACCATAGACTGTAAAAAAAGATGGATGATGCGTCTCCTATTCCTTCCACTATAGAAAAGTGAACCCAAAGCTTCTCAGTTTGGCTGCTGCCATCTTGAGTAAATGACGTCATTTGGAGCCCGAGTCTGCGCAGTAGAGATTCGTTTGGAGCCAGAGTCTGCGCAGTATTGTCATGAGGTGGAGCCGCGGTATCAAACTCCCGCAGACCCAATCAACCATAACAACACGCCCCGTTTTTATAGCATCAAATTACTAGCTAAAATCAAACTTATCACAAAAACTAACCATTTAACATATATCAGCGTGATAACAACTACCTTTAATGACCATCTTTCGGAAAATTGTATTGGAAGTGTAATCTATTTTTAAATTTTGACTCAAGTCCCATTCGTTTACATGGAGAGGGTGGGGTTTATGACCTGTACTGCAGCCAGCCACCAGGGGGCGATCAAAGAGCCCACAGCTTCACTTTTCAGGATGTGTGAGGCACATCCAGACAAAACCAATAAAACCCATTATAAACGAGGCATTTGTTGCATCCAGTGGGGACATAATTACGGATTATAATGACTTTTACTGTCTTTTTACGCGTTGTGTTGCATTGCGCCGCGCAAACATAACCATGTCTGCATTTGTGATCGGAGAAACAACAAACAACAAGCGCTACTCTACACTGCTTAAAACTTTCGTTTGAATCGTCAGTGGCAAATTCTTTAAATATGAAAACATACTTACAGGCTGTGAGTCAGAACAGCCGGCATTGTAGGCTACTCTCCCAGGTTCAGGAAACAGTCTTCAGTAAAATGCTTTGCACACGCGAATATTTGGTTTGAACTGTTCTGGAACAGTGTTGTAAATACAACTTAACCTCTGATTTCTAGTTGTGTCCTCTTTTGGAAGACCAAACAAAGTATTTTCGCTTTCACAACAAAACACACAGCGTCTCCACGACATGACGGCGGCAGCAACAATACTACAGCGAGAATCAAAGTTACGCCTTCTTTCTTTGCATAAACATTTGGGCGGTGTTATGCAAATCTTCCCACACAGTGATGTAGACATGTGGGGGCGTGTTCAAATTAGGCGTTTTAGGAAGGCGTGGACGAGTCTTAACTTTGAAATAGAATATCTCTTTGAGTTTGAGACTTTAGTCTTTAGGGATCTTATCTATTCATGAACAGCTTGTAACACTCCAAAGAGAAAGGAAAACTTGAAATCGCATCATATGACCCCTTTAAGTAGTGAAAATTGTTGCAACTAAGTTCTACAGTAGGTGACCAATACTGTTCTAAACATGCAGATCATTTACTTGCTGATGTGGCGAAATACTAACACCAGGGTGTAACAGTTATTGCAGTGTGAGTATTATAGCAGTTGTCAATTTTCTCATGATTAGAGCCACTAAATGTGCTAATCCTGGATATATGAAGGTCATTTATTTAAGATTTGCGAATAAAAGGAAGAAAGTGTTGAACTGACATGTTGATGGGTCTTGCTTACTGAAAATAACTTTGCTAACGTTTGTTGCACAAGTTTGAAGGGTTTATCTTTACAGCTCTAGAGTTAGTTCACATGAAGGTTGTGCAACTTTGACAATGCTTGTAAGGCTGTCAAGGTACACTGGGTTGTAATGAAAGCTTGTATAAAGTGTGCTGGACTGAAGCGTGAACTTGAACAAGAGATTTTTACCAAAGAATTCATGGAATCTCCTCTAGACACAGATTTTTAGTGTTTTATCACTGTTTGCTTGTTATTCCTTCAAGTACAAGTATGTTTGCAAAAGTACGTTTTGTTTGTTTCTTTCTACAAAATCTAAAACTAAACCTCATAGATGATCAAAAATGTTATGTTAACGTCGATTAATAATGTCACACCCATGAATGCCCGTTGAATCTGTTGAAATCATCTTCGTTGTTGTCAGTCATGTGGAGGATGTTACATAATGCAGATCTGTTATAAGACTTTATTGCTAGTGGCTTTGTAGAATGGCATGACATTTAGGTAACCTAACATTCCATGATTATAGTTAACATGCCTCTGATACCTGATGTTCCAACTGATGTGATATAAAAAAATCTGGTAACACTTTATAATAACTTTCATTTATAAATCTTTAACAAACATTATACAATGCTTAACAGATCATTAGTTAATATATATATTCACGTAGCTAGAAATATGAGATAATGTTCTTGTTAATGTTTACTAATGAACTTACTAAACATTAAACACCTAATGATTAACATATGATTATTTAATGTTAATTGAAATGCTTACAAATGTCAGTAAACTTTCAGATCATATGATCTTCATTTGTTGGTCTTTGTATGTTGTGTAGACCTCTATTTACACATCTTAACAAATAATCTATTAATTATTTGTTCATGTTTTTGCAGTACTCAATCTAAAGTGGAAACTCTTCATCATTTGCAAATGTTTATAAATGTTTACTAATCATAAATAACTTTATGACAAGTCATCTCAATGGCAAAAAGTGTCCCGAAAGACCTGAATTTACCCTATTCACACATCTTTACTAATCATTTATTAATCATTTGTTCATGTTTTTGCAGTACCCAATCTCAAATTGAAACTATTCATCATTTGTAAATGTTTATAAACGATTACTAAACATTTAGTATCTTTATGGGCACTGGATTTTTAGCTAATGTAACAAGGTTTGTGTAAAGGGTGGCTGGTTATGTTTAGCTAAATGCTTGCTAAAGACATAAAAGATTGTAATTTTGGGAATGTTTTTATTACCTCAACACTCATATTAGTATACTACTGTTCAGTATATCATTAAACAGGATATTCCTTGAGTCATAAATAAACGGGAAAACAAATCAATTTTTTTAAAGAAAATACTTGTTCATTTATCAAAAAAATATAATATAAACAGATTGAACCGTGTTCCCTTATAATAATCAAATTGACCCCTGTGCACTGTTGACCCCTTAAAGGGATAGTTCACCCAAAAATGAAAATTAGCCCATGATTTACTCACCCTCAAGGCATCCTAGGTGTATATGACATTCTTATTTCAGACTAATACAACCGGAGTTATATTAAATAATGTCCAGGCTAATCCATGCTTTATAATGGGAGTGGATGGTAGCCCAAAATTCGAAGTCCAAAAAATTGCACCCATCCATTATAAAAGAAGTCCACACGGCTCCGGGGGGTTAATAAAGGCCTTCTGAAGTGAATCAATACGTTTGTGTAAGAAATATATCCATATTTACAACTTTATAAACCTTAATCTCTAGCTTCCGCTAACTGTCGTACACGCGCTCACGAGAGAGTGTCGTCCAGCGGATGACGTAAGATGTTGGCGTAGCATAAGCTCCGGTGAGAATATGCTAGTCTCGCGAGAAACCAGTTTTGTTTACAGCAAAACTGGAAAACCAGTGTCCTCTTGGCTTGTATTGAAATCCGACATTTTTCTTTAAAAATACTCGTTTTGTACTACTAATTCGTGACCAGTGTTTTGTTTCGCTCTCTCCTCTGCACTTCCATGTTTGTCACTTCCACGTTCGTCACCGCGTTTGCCTACGTGCTACGTCATCCGCTGGATGCCATTCTCTCGTGAGCGCATGTACGACAGTTAGCGGAAGCTAGAGATTAAGGTTTATAAAGTTATAAATACAGATATTTTTCTTATACAAACGCATTGATTCGCTTTAGAAGGCCTTTATTAACCCCCCGGAGCCGTGTGGACTTCTTTTATAATGGATGGGTGCAATTTTTTGGACTTCAAATTTCGGGCTACCATCCACTCCCATTATAAAGCATGGATTAGCCTGAACATTATTTAATATAACTCCGATTGTATTCGTCTGAAAGAAGAATGTTATATACACCTAGGATGCCTTGAGGGTGAGTAAATCATGGGCTAATTTTCATTTTAGTGAACTATCCCTTTAACCAACCCTTAAACCTACCCATACCACCAAACCTGTCCCTAACCTTACCCGTATCACACCTCATTAGCAGCAAAAGTGTTGTCCATTACACAAGCTTTTAACCATTTTATAACATCTGTTAAAATCATTTGTAGATTTTCAATAAGTACTTGATCATATGGAACTGAAAGTTTAATAACATTTGTAAGCATTTCAACTTACATGAAATAATAATTAGTTTGAACATTATCTAATGTTTAATAAGTTTATTAGCAAACATTAACAAGCACATTATCTCACATTTCTAACTCTTTGAATATATATTAACTAATGATCCATAAAGGGATAGTTCACCCAAAAATTTAAATTTGATGTTTATCTGCTTACCCCCAGGGCATCCAAGATGTAGGTGACTTGGTTTCTTCAGTAGAACACAAATGATGATTTTTAACTCCAACCGTTGCAGTCTATCAGTCATATAATGCATGGCAATGGTAACAAAATATATGAGAGTAAAAAAAACATGCACAGACAAATCCAAATTAAACCATGCGACTCGTGATGACGCATTCTCCCTAAGACACGAAACGATCGGTTTGTGCCAGAACAGTATTTATATAATTTTTTACCTCTAATACACCACTATGTCCAACTGTCTTTGGGCGTGCACACGGCATCCGGTGCGTGAGGTGTGTACTCACTCTGGCGTAGTTTACGTTAAAGGGTGTGTTGATATCCAGCCGAAGAGCAATCAACCATAACTTCAGGCGAGCAGGCTCAGAAGTTGGGAATACGTGGAAAGTCACCACTCCCGAATGAGTTCGCACGAGAGAACGTAATCTTTTAGTTTTAAGTTGGTTTGAACAATCCGGATAAGCGCAAGTACCATTTTGATTAGCCATCGTACCTACAATGACTGTGCACTGTGTAAACAATGAGTGACGTATACGCGCGAGAGATCACTTCCGGAAGCCGTGTGCGTGCCCAAAGACAGTTGGACATAGTGGTGTATTAGAGGTAAAAAATTATATAAATTTCTCGCACAAACCGATCGTTTCGTGTCTTAGGACATCAATGTGTCGTCATGAGCCGCAGGGTTTAATTTGGATTTGTCTGTGCATGTTTTTTTTACTCTCATAGATTTTGTTACCATTGCCATGCATTATACGACTGATAGACTGCAACGGTTAAAGTTAAAAATCATCATATGTGTTCTACTGAAAAACAAAGTCACCTACATCTTGGATGCCCTGGGGGTAAGCAGATAAACATCAAATTTTCATTTTTGGGTGAACTATCCCTTTAATGATTTATTAATGAAAGTTATTATAAAGTGTTACCAAAAATCTGATATGACAATGGTGTAATGTAATTAAGGTGTTTAGTGTTTGAAATATTGAAACATTTTAAACATTTTTGGCCAACAAATCTTTTGTTCTGCTGTAATGGTACAGTATATATTATATTTCTGTACAAATACCAAACATGTTTTTGCTGTAATTGACTCCAATACTTGATTCAATGTCATTAAAAACACTCACTTATGTTCGTTCTCTGCAGATCAATGTCCGTGTCACCACAGTGGATGCAGAGCTGGAATTTGCAATCCAGTCGGTTACAACGGGCAAACAGCTCTTTGAGCAGGTGAGCAACGGTCATATGCTCCTGAAATCCTACTGATTGTTTATTAAAGCTAAGCCAGTGAGTTGGCATGTGAAGAATCACCTGTCTTATGTGTTTTTTTAACCCTATACAGCTTACTGCGTCATATTTGATATGCAAATAAGGCCTCTAAATTATCAATATGATCAATAATTCACTTCAAAGGTTTACGTGTCTTGTTGTTGTGAAATCTTGGTAACACTTTAGTATAGGGACCAATTCTCACTATTATTTAGTTGCTTATTAACTTGGCTAAAGTACATATTCTGCATGACCATATTTTACATCCCTAATCCTGCCCAATACCTAAACTTAACTTAACTACTTTACTAACTATTACTGTAAAAAGCAGCAAATTAGGAGTTTATTGAGGTCGTAGTTAATGGTTTGTTAATGGCGAGAATTGAACCTTAAAATAAAGTGTGACTGAAATCTTTACTAATTTTTATAAAGTAAATGTAAGAAAAACTAGAATTACTTTTAGCAATATTTCAAAATAAACACTTACTGGACTGAAGCAATTTTATATTTACTTGATTATCCATATTATTTTTTAGAAAACAACCATGTGAGTATCAAAAAGCAGGCTTTTGTGGAACATTATTTGAACATTTATTATTGATATTACAAGGTAACAAAATGGGTTAAGGGTAGGTTCAGGGTTAGTACCTAGTTATTACCCAGTTATTGAGATTGTTATAATAAGTACATAGAATGTACACACAGAAAAGGACTATAAAATAAAGTGCTATTGACAAGATATTAGGAGATGTAAAGTGACAACTGATATTTATATGCTATGCTATACTATTTTTACTACTTTGCACTACTATGCAATCTAAATGCACTACTTTGTTCTATCACAATGACTCATCAACTTGTAGCAACTTGTATCTCTTTGAAAAAAACAACACTCTTTTTTGTAACGAAACTTTGTAACTAATTGCAAAAGCATTTTTCATACCTAAGTCACACCCGAATCAATGCTCATAGTCACTGGGTGTAAATCATTTTTCAGATACTGTTGAGATTAGTAATGCTAAACTACCTTGTTATATGGTGATTGGTGAGGCTCATGGTATGACAGGACATACCAGGTGGAGGACACCGTCTCTGCCTATTTGCACACACCTAACTGATAAGAGGTCTGGATGGGTGGTATTTTCCCTCCCTGTTGATTGCATGAACTTTTAGTGTAGTGTTCCTATTCTAATCTACTAAGACTAGAGACTCCCGTTGTTTGAGCTACAACATAACGTCATGCTAATCAAGTGCTGAGGTGATTAGGTATATGTTTTCAATGTACGCCATAGTCGATATCACAGTTTACATTCATACATTTAGCATGCATATAACTGGTTGATTTTTATCCTCTGTGTTGATGCATTCAGGTGGTGAAGACGGTGGGTTTGCGTGAGGTCTGGTATTTTGGCCTGCAATACACAGACACCAAAGGCTTTCTGACATGGCTGAAACTGGACAAAAAGGTATTCTTGATTTTGTACAGGAAATATATATATATATATATATATATATATATATATAATGTATATATAA